AAAAAAAAAAAAAAAAAAAAAAAAAAAAAAAAAAAAAAAAAAAAAAAAAAAAAAAAAAAAATGGCTAAATGGCAAAACTATGTATGGGAAATCAGCAACGTCCCAAAATTGTCGAGGTTACTGTTTCAAGACAGTGACAATATTCTTAACTGACCTATCATTATTCTGTATTCTAATATCGTACCTTTGCATCTTTGTTCTAGGTCCAATTTCAGTCATGGCCAAAATATTCACTCCAACTAATCAGATACGCCTCACAAATGTTGCTGTTGTTCGAATGAAAAAGTGTGGGAAAAGATTTGAAATCGCTTGTTATCGAAACAAAGTAGTGTCTTGGAGGAACAATGTGTAAGTTACCAATTAAGGTTTTTTCTTCAACTACCAACTATATTTTATATGAATGAAAAAAAAACCCCTATCATATCTTGTCACCGTGTTTTGTAGGTACAATTAATTTGAATAAAAGGATTCTTGTGTCGCTCATTCATGGGTTGATTTTGGCAGTTTGAAATATGTTCAATGTGTTCTGCGTAGAATTTTGATGAGGGAAAATATCTTGTGTAGCTTTAAGTTTTACCATATCTAGTTGTGCATTATTCCGCACCATGGGAAAAATGCTTCCAATAATTCCTCTAATTTTTCTTCTCAATCTTGTTACCCATAATTGAAAACTAAAAAAATAAATGCCATCCTTTTAAAACTAAGGCATGGCAAATTTTGTCCAGCCTCCAATGGCAAAATCGTGAATCCTCCCTTGAATCGGAAGAATAATTGACATTTTATTTACCAGATCTAATTAGGTAGGTACAACATGAATGTCTAGATTTCTAATTATTACCAGTATAGGACTCTTGTTGTTTTTCTCTCTAATATTAAACACACTTCATGTTTCAGAGAGAAAGATCTTGATGAAGTCTTGCAAACTCACACGGTGTTCACTAATGTTTCTAAAGGGCAAGTTGCAAAAAAAGAGGATTTGGTCAAAGTCTTTGGTACAGATAATGCGACAGATATTTGCAAAGAAATTTTAGCCAAAGGAGAGCTTCAAGTTTCAGATAAAGAGCGATCCTCACATATCGACTCTTTATTCAAAGATATTGCCACAACAGTTGCAGGTAAGTGGATGGGTTATTTTTTTGTCAGTCTCCCAGTTTCTGAACGTTCTGTATTACTAATGGGCTTAGTTTACCCTAGTAGCCCCTGACTATAATTTTGATCCACAAAAATTACCTGTCAAAGAGGAGGAACAATTCCCACATCCTGAATTCGATGGCGACAATTTTTGAGGCCAAAAATTCTGTAGTTCAGCAAGTAGTTCAATTGCGTTCAAAGATTGACAGTATTATTCAATCACCAACAATACCTAAGATCATTTATCCTCAAATTTCTGGCTCATCTTTAAAAGAACTGCTTGCTGTTAATTGAAATTGATAGACAAAGGGAAAATGAAGCGATCCTAACTCATCCTATCGGTGTTTGCAATGGACAAAAGAGGTAAGTAGTGAACTAACTAACTGTAACCAATGAGAGACCCCATAGTTAGTCCATTATTCTCTCCCTAGTCTGTAAGAACCACCCCGCTCAACCCTTAGGATAGCTTGATTTTTCCTTCGTTCTCTTTGTCTATTGCTTATCTATCGATTTCAAAAGGCAAAGAGGAAAGGAGATGGGTTTTAAAATAAGTGAATTTAAGAATAGCAGGCATTTTCTTCCAAGTCACTATAACCCTTAAGAATTATAGTTGATTAATCATCGAAGTGTTTCATCATACTTTATGTTTTAAATATTTCAGAAAGATGTATCAATCCAGACACAAATAGAATGTACCCTGTAACAATGATAGAAAAAGCGATGAAGGACTGTCACATTTCTGTTAAACCTAACAAAAATGCTAAGCAACAGGTAAATTATCTAGTCTTTTATTTGTTATGTGAATGAGACTTTATTTTATCTCTCTCTTTGATTTAACTAGCTGAATTTTTATTTAAAAGCAAGTAAGTGTATTATTTTCTCGGGCGAGGCTGTTTAAGCCTCACTTCTGCAATTTTCGAATTTTCAAAATTGCTTTTAATAGATATCTCCTGAGTTAGATCAGAGTTTCTCAACTGCCTTTGAAAATAATCTTGAATTTTTCCACTCAAATAGCTCAGGACCATGTTTTCAAGTCTTAGGAATGTATGCCATGACCATTCGTGATAAGTTAATTAAATTAGTGAAACAAAGTGTTCAAAGAAAAATAAAATAAAATTAAAGCAACTCTGTAATTTTGTGTATTTTCCTGTCATACATAATAAATGTGTTTCTCTTTAGTTTTATAAGTTTTGAAACAATGATTATTTTCTCATCTTCATTTCTTCAATTTTCATTTCTCAAGGAATCAAATTTTCTTGCTTTTCTGCTTTTCTGAACTCTAAAAAACCAATTTCACCAGCAAGTGTACATCAATTATATTTTATAGACAACAAAGAAAGAATGAGCTTTACTCTCTATTGGTTATTTCAGGCACTGGAAGTCATCCCACAGCTCAAGACAGTGATACCAATTGAAAGAGCCCAGATGAGGGTCAGAGTTACACTATCAGGAAAAGAAGCGAAAAAATTGAGAGAAAAAATGACTCAATTAATTTCAAAAGTAGAAAGTGAAGAGTGGTCAGATGGCACCCTAAACATGGTAAGTCACTTCAGTTTTCATCGAATCCCTCTTTTCATTTGCCTCCTGTGTCGAAGATCAAAGGTGTCCTTAGAATCAATACAGTTTGATAGAGCAAAACACAGTGGCAATATTTCTTTTTGGTACGCATCTTAACTTTTTTGGACATGCTGCTGCTTTTGGGCTGCCTTTTTCAATGTTTGAGTAGCGCAGCAAGAAGCTGAGAAATAGTGGCTTCGGGCTGAAGGCATTCTCTAAAAATCTGGGAAGGACTAAAATCACACAAGCCAAGAATTTTCCTTTCTCAGGAATGAGATCCACAACAACCGAGAAAGCCAAAATTTCCGGTTTGATTGGAGGTTTGAGGCCTAAGTTTACCTTTAGTCCAAAATGAGAAATGATCATGTCACAGGTACTGCATTACCTGTAACCTTAAGTTCCCTAACTTCCAAATTTTCCTTTAAATTTCTACCTTTTTCATTCAAATTCAATCTAGTCATTAAGGATGGCTGGATTTTATCCGCTTTTCGTCTTCTTGTCTCTATCATCCGGCCATCACCCATAAAATTAATGACTAGACTTGCAACTGATAGCTCCACTGATTATAGCCAGCCAATCACGTAGAAACTTGCTGTCTCGCCACTTGTGACATCATCAAGTTTATAAAAGCTTGTGCTGCCCGTTTCTCATGGCCCATTCCATCCCTGACCTGTATGTACATACGTTACGCCCTCAAGCTCTTCTGGCATATTTTAGCTATAAGTGTGACTATCTTTGTAAAATTGTATCTTTTTCTAAATTCGTTCAACTTACAAACTTGTCAGCCCTTTAACTCTCTTGCTCAATTTCTGCTCTCCCACATTCATCGCTATTTCTAGAGCGTGTACTTAGGATCATTTAGATGTTTTCAGCCCATCTAAAACTCAACCAATCGTCAAACGTGACACGGTACCTCGACCGATCTCCAGTGCGTGACAGATTGTCTCTAAGTTTACTTGAAGTCCAAGTCAAAGCAGCATTTTTGGGCAAATTTATCTAACAAAAGAATTCCAATTGCCTTTTTGACTCCTAAATTTTGAAAAATTTGACCCACCGAAGAGGGTACTATTTACTTTTGACACCAGCTATTTTGTTTTTCATTTTAGGTTTGCCTTATTGATCCCGGACACTTCAGAGAAATTGATGAAATTGCAAGAGTTGAAACACGTGGACAAGGTACCCTTGAATTAGTCAACTTGAAGGAAATGCAAGAAGGTGAAGAAGAGTTTTGAAATTTGAATGTTCACCACAACCTTCAACCTTCGGAGGATTTCAAGGTCAACAAAAAATGTTTCTTTGTTTGCTGAAATTTATCCATTGATGTTGTTTTAGTGCCTGTGTCTGTAACAGCAAAACAGCAGTCATCGTGGACTTTGTTGTCTCGGATTGCTGAATCTTTGGTTTCATGTGATGGAAGAATTATGCATACTTCATATCTTAAGATGAGCTCAAAGAGAGATTTTTAATCTGAATCAAATTTATTAATTCGTAGTCTCTGCTGCCTGCACTGACAGCAATTTTTTAATGTTATCCATTTGTGCAAAAGAGCCTCTGAAGTTTTAGATAACTACCCAAAATTCAACACAGAAGCATGAGAGGAAACAAATCGAATGTCTCGTGATCCTTTTTGTCGAAAGATGCCAAAAACTTCTGGGAAACAGTTAGCTTCAAATGATTTTTCTGCTTAATGAGGGAAGTATTTATTTACCAATTAATTTTATCAAGCTTTTGGTGGATCACACAGTTTGTAATTGTTGATGTTATACCTATACTCTGGAATCTGCTCATTTTTGGAGGTGAGAGCTCAATTCTCTGAACCAAGATATTAAGTAGTCACTATTTTTTATATTTTTAGTAACCCTATTCTCTCCATTTACATCTTTTACTACAGCTTCTTTTTTTTCTTTCTTTCTTTCTTTCTTTTTTTTTTTTGCACTACTATCTTCAAATAAATCAATCCCCATTATTTCTTAGTGGGTCTGATAGTTGGTTTTCATTGGTATTAAAGAAATAACAAAGTTACAAGAATTCAAATTTTATTTTTTGGTCAAATTGCGTTTACAGAAAATTTTTGGATCACATTGAGTATTAATCTGAGGTAATAACAAAGAACTTTTTCTTGAGAACAGAGTAGTAACATAAGAGATTTGAATTGGTGGCTATGGAGCACTCTTTTTTTACTACAGCCTCTCAGCTGCAATTTTCAGTGTCTATGGCAGTTTGTTGAGCCTTCTTTAGACTTGGAATGTTCCCCCAGAAGGACCTTGATCTATTTTGAACGGATAAATATGTTGCCTCTAAAACAGTAGAATCACATCAAAAAAATAATATCATCTCTATCCTGTAATGTTTTGGCATAGATGTAACTTTTCAAACAGCCAAAACAAGTAACGACCATTATTGTTTGTGTTCAGGAATTGTGAAACTTGTTAGTGTCATGGGAAACCAACCGGTCCTTCCATTTCAGTCACCCACAGAGTATTTAATTAATTAATTTTAATTATTTAAGTATTTAATGTCATTCATTACCCCTGGCATTAATGCTTCTTTCATGCAAATGAAATGGAAAGGCCATTTGGTTTTCTGCGATTTTGAAAACAACTTGAAAATCTTAAAATCAATCAAGTCTTTGGTTCCGAACGAGGAAATCTCTGTTTGGCTAAAGTTAGCTCCTTCAGCGCATAAAGTGCCAGAAGTGCGCATAAAGTGTCATTTACAGATCTGTTCTTCTAGTTAAATCTGAAATTCTCTCTGAACAGCTCTCTATCTGCTCTTCCCAAAAAAAACCCCTCCACCGCAAGCAGTGGATGGTACACATAACTGTAATCCCGGTGATTCCTGCTCCTCTTCTTCAAATGCTCCACCCTGAATCACCTATGATCAGGGCACCCTCATCGCATCTCTTCGTATGCTGCAACATATTCTTACCTTGTATTATGTTGTTCAATCTAATGTAATCCTGTGATCTTTGACGTAATCTTTGAATATTCTTCCAAGTTTTGTTACTCACATTTATATTATATTTCTCTGAATAAATGAGGAATCAATTTAAAAAAAGAAAGAAAGTCGTTTCAGTCATTTTTTTTTTTGGGGGGGGGGGTCTACAAATTAATAACACATATAGACATTGTAGATATAGATATTGCACATATAGATATTGTATAGACAATACTCTGTTTCCAAGAAAAAGTAATATTAGTCCTTTTTAGTTTACTTTAATTTAAATAAATAAAAAAAAGCGCTACTTCATAGAATATTTTTATCACACACAAACTGTAAAAAGAAACGTGATGGAAACACTAAATAAATACGAGGAGACAAAATTTATTGGGACTGGGGGAAAGGGGGGGGGAGGCAGCACACAATTGCCGGGTGCTCAATAACTTTTTAACAGTCTAATTAATGTAGATCAGACCAAAAATCAGTCAATTTTAGCAACAGGATGATAAAAAAATTCCCCCACTTGTTCCTGTACTTTGAACTTAATTTAATAATGATTAAATTATCCATATTTTCTAGTAGGTATCTGACATGTAGGACCACACCACAAATGCTAAAAAACTGATGTCCAGACAGTAAATGTCAACTATGAAAAACTCAAAACTTTAAAAAGCAAGATTTTAAAGAAAATTACATTCGTGCAATGGAAGAGCTGGGTGCAGGTGCAGTATTTCTCTATTACAGTGTCTCCGAGTCTCCACAAACATTGCATCTCTTATGAGGAAAATAAATACACTTTATTTCCTAGAATCGTTTATCATACTTTCGGTATGATTTTATAATGCTTAACAGAAAATTACGAGAAAAGCGCCCATTATTTTCCTCTCAAAAATACAACAAATTAGCAGAGAATATTCTGAAATACTGCAATTAGGAGCCCTCTCTGCACCCAGCACCTCAATAGTAAGATCGCAAGATCCAACTTTTGTAATTTCAATATTGCAGGAACACTTGATGATATTTCTAAATATTTCTTGGTACATGGTTGATTTTTTCAAACCAATAAGTACACTCCCTACTTAATTCTTGGATGAAACAACTTCTGACAAATCTAGGATTTTTTTTTCAGTGATGAAGACTCACAGCCAGTTGAAGTCCTAAATTACCTTCTCAATCCTTCCCCTCTCAGCCAGATGCCATAAGAATCTTAATGATCTTTGGGGGCAGATACCCTGTCCCAGTGATGTGACCCTATGATCCAAAAAATTGGATCCTGGGTGCCGGTCACCACACCCTGTATAAGTCTTTGTCAGTGGCAAAAATGGAAGCGGCTTGAACAAGATCGTGACATAGGTACAAGTAATATTTCTAAATTATTGATAGGAAGGAGGTATGAACATTTCCTGAAGCAATGAGGCAGAAAAACCATCCAAAATTACGAACTGAATTACCATTCAAAAAGTCAATCTAAGGAAAAACTCATACCGATGAAACATTTTTTGTACTATGCAGGGTGCAGTAGAATAACAATGCTGCCTCTCTCAAGAGGAAATGAACAGTTTTTAATCATTATTGAAAGCCAGAAACCATAAGCATAAGGAGAAAAATTTTGCTGTAGGGAGGAGGAGGAACCAAGGGCTCATTTACCTTTTACTGAAGTCTACTCCGCCATATTAAGGAAGAACGCAGTATAAACCCTCAGGCATTGCTGAGTGTCCCTAGATAAAACACGAATTTCCTGGTCAACTTGTGAATATTTTTCTTCCAATTTTTCAGATTATTTCGCTAGCAATTAAGTCCTTAAGTCCTGAAAATTTTAAGGGAAAATATTCATAAGTTTCCTCGAAAATGAACATTTCGTCCAAGGAAATGTGGCATTTCTTGAATGTTCATACAGTGTTCTTCCTCAGCACAGCAGCATGGTACTGAGCGTCTGAACACAATGACAATTTTTCTACAGTTAACCATTCCAGTTATGTCTATGCCATAAAGAGCTAATTGGCAAACCTCTCTCTTCCTCAAATATGTAATGAAGGTCTTTTTGAAAAATTAAAAGGTGCATGCAGCGCGACACCTAGTAGAAAATGTGAGTGAAAAAAAGAGAGGTAATGAAAAAGAAAAAGATGCAAATGCATTGAGAAGAATAAAGTTTCTTGCTCTCACGTAATTTTTACCTTATTTTTCTTGAGCAGAGCGTATGAGAGAAAGGTTAATACAGTTGTCATTTCTAGATTGTAATTAAGAATTTTTCTGCTATGTGAGTCATGCAATTCCCAGAAGACCAACACCATAGAAAACTAGCAGCCATTGGATTATCAAAACATATGATATTTTCGTTTTGAAATCGTCATGACCTCGCACAAAGGTGCATCATGCCACCAATAGTTCTTGCTTTAAAGAGGTATGATGACTGTCCTCGATGGAATAAATGATTTTTATACTAATTTTCAAAATGGTTTTCACCTATTTTTACTTGAGGGAAAAAAACCAAAGATTAGTGTTAGATTAAAAATGGAAACACTGCTTTTTGTGAAAATTAAAGAGTTAACATGAGCAAAGTTTTACGTAATTTCCTATGTTATCGGTACGTTTAAAAAAGAAATGAAATATGCTCTCATTTTAATTCTAGCCGAAAGCAAGTTTAAGAGCCCTGGTTTCATGCTTGTAATGGTAATTTGCAAGACCAATCTACACAGGTCAGTCATTCCTGAAGGTGAGTTTTGGAACTCTACTGCGTAGTGACATAGAGCTAGCTATTTGCAATGTGATTCTTATGGGCGCAGCCAATGTGACATCACACTGGCTTCAGCCGAATGAAAGCCGGGAAGGGGAGTGGATTACAAAAAGATACCTGATGTGTGGATTGGTCTTGGTAATTTGGAATGTAAGTGAACACATTAGTTATATAAATTTCCTCTTGACCAAATACACAATGGATTCTCTACTGCCGTATGGTTTTTCAAAAAGTCCTCTTAAAATTAAAAAGAAGCTATTTGACTTACCTTATGGCCTTAATCGCATTTAATTCGGAAGATTAGAACATTCAAACGATGAATTTTCCATGAAAGAAGCCCCCCAGGTTTAATCACTACTGTCATGCAAGCGTAACAACCACTGCTTTCTTTGTACTGGGAAAATAATTCCCATTAGCAGTGCTATGGCAATATCTCGAGCAAACATCACCCCACCTGTAAATGATCAACAATGGCTGGGCCATCGTTTGACAGGACAGTCAGAGCAACAAAGATAAATTCACAACAAATCTAACAAGTATAGTTATATTGAACAAAAAAAAAAAAATTAATGATAATGAGAAACAGCCGATGGTGATCCATTATCATGGACCATTCTTCGAGCACCATTCCATAACCAGCGGATGACATGCTCTACTTTGTGCCATAACCAAGCTGAGGACTCTCTACGGCACAAAGATTGGCAGAAATGACGAGCATAGTCTGTAAACATATCAGTCAAGGAACATACAGTCACCGAATTACACAATGATCTGAAATATTATATTTTCATATTCTCATAAAAAAACAAAAGGTGCCAATCTACAATGGATCGGTTGCGCTGGTCATAGAATCGTGTTTTGAAGTTTGATTCTTGTAGATCAGCTAAAATAATAAGATCTGTCCAAACAGCAACCGTCTACGTTCAATATTAACTGAGGTTTCTTCCTTTGAAGTCAGGTTCATGACGTCATCCACTGCAGTAGTGACACCCTTTGTTTCTTCCACCTTACGTTCATCCGAGTTTCACGTGAATAATCAGTGCAAGTGCGCATCACACTAACTGATAAAAGCAAGGTGGGAAAAACCAAGTAGGTCACCAATGCGATTGATGATGACAAAATTCCGACTTTTCAGAGAGTGATATCTTGGTTAATATTGAACCTAGAAAGTTGCTGGTTGGACAGATTTAATTATTTTTAGCTAATCTACAAGAATCAAGCATCAAAAGACGATTCTGTGACCAGTTGGCCTTTAACTGACCTATTAGACAAATCTGAAATTTAGGGTGGAAAGCAGTTGACCGACAGCTGTAGCCCCAACTAAAGTACTCCAGAGTAGAGTGTGCAGTTCAAGCTGCAGTCACTATGAGTGAAAATATGAATACGGTCTGTCTCTCTTATAGTTTCTTAGATGCGAGACATGTAAACTTACTTTTTGGAAGACCCTTGTAGTACCGTCGTGGAACAATTTACTGTACTCTCTTTTCAAAACATACTGAGAAACATACGCATATAATTTTTTCTTCACTTCAATGCCTATTCTGCCTATTATTTTGGTGATGATTACTGTAGAAAAAAGGATATAATACACCCCAGGGAGGGTGGCCTCCATTGATGTACAAAACATAAGTAAATCCATCCTTGAATTTGTTTCCGATGAAATAGTAAAATGGCACAAATGAATGTAATCTGAAACAAAATTGAATGAAAAATTACACAGTATGGACAAAATAGTGTAAACATCAATTTCTGTTCTCAGTCAATCAATTCGAATTTGGTTTCAAAACTTAATGTGTTTTCAAGAATATTTGTTTTGCTCTTAGTTTTAAAATAAAAACATTCCATCTCAACCGCAAATCTCGTTTGCTGTGTTTAAAAATCTCTGTTCTTATTTTATAGTTTTAAATGAGAACAAATTGCCATCATTTCCGGTAGTTTTCACTGAATTTTCTTTGCACAGAGAAGAAAAATGATGGCAGTTTTTAAGAGCTGCCATTGAGTAGTTTTTCATCAAAGAGCAACAAAAAGTATGATAGGAAGTCTGCAACGTAGCAACCCAAGATACGTAGTTATGGACTTATGCCTTCGATTCGTTTCCTTTTTTGAGTTTAAACAGCACAGTTCATAAAATTGTTCTTCAAATTTCAATAGAACCCGGTTAATAAACTCATCGGAATACACTAGAAATGTGTTATCTTGTACGTTGGGAACTGCTCAAATCCATCTTAAGGACCATTTCTGCCTTCACTGAATGTACCATACAGTGAACAGGGTATTACACTGGGTCATTGCTACAGGCAGAGACGCTCCTTAAAAAAAAAAAAACAGGCTGCTGAGTAAGAGAAAGTGCTAAATGTGAATCCTTATTGAAACAAATAATCGTCAATGTTACTGAGAAATTATTGCTTTTCTATCTTCTTTACCACCTTTGTCACATGGATTTGGTTGAACATTTTGACCATTTAAGGATTCAAGAACCAAATCTTTAACATATAATTTTGAGATTCATGTAATTTGAAACTTTTAGAGCTTCCTTCCCTGACACTGGTGCCTGCAGAACTATCAAATTTTCATACTAAATGGAATAATTTTTAACAGAAAAACATGTTTTTTTATGCACATCCAGAAATTGCAATCCTTAAAGCTTCAAGGTTCCTAAAAATCTATGCAGTCCGCAAAATAGCTGAATAGAAGTATTTTTTGTTTTTAAAAAAAAGTAGGAGGGGACTAAAGAGCGACGCCAAAAACGACCGTTTTTTGGCACAATTTGGGCCAGAAGGGATTTTTCTGAAACCGGGCCCAGACGATACCTTATGATACCCTAAAACTCTGGTAAAAATTTTAGCTTGAGTATACGCACCGTTTTTGAGAAATGGGGGGGCAAAGTTGCCAAATCGCCATCATTCTGGACAGCATTTTTACAGCAAAAAGACGGGAAAAATGGACGAAAAAGTTACACTATTGATGGGTTTGGGCTGTAAATGTTCTTATTGAGCCCCCGTGCATGTAACTGTGTTCAGTTTCAAAAATTTTGGACGTACAGTGGTCCAAAATGGGGAGAAATCGTGGACAGATAAGGATTCTTTGTCAAACTTTTTAAAAATGGAAGTAAAATTGTTGGTCTCCTGCAGAGATCATGTGGAACAATGTTCTCATCGGTCTTCAATGCATTCAATTGAGTTCAGTTTATCAAATTTTCATCGCACAATGGTCCAAAATGGGAAATCAGTGGACAAATTAAGATCTTCTGCCTAACTTTTTAAAAATGATGTACGACTATTGGTCCCCTGCAGAGATCATGGGGAACAATGTTCTTATCAATGCATTCAATTGGGTTCAGTTTATTAAATTTTCATCGCACAATGGTCCAAAATGGGAAATTAGTGGACAAATTAAGATCTTCTGTTGAAATCTAACCTAACCTAACCTAACCTTTCCTAAATCCTTAGAAAGGATTTATTGTAAAGTATTATTCTAACTACAATTATTCTCTGACAACTAACTAGGACAAAAACCACCCAGTTAGCCGGATTTTAAGGATCCAAAAGCTAAGTTCCTCCTGAATTACCGTTTCCAGACCTTATTTGTTCAGTTCAAAACAGTGAACATGGATAGCTTTAATTGGCTACTAACTTATTTTGAATTTACACCTTTCGAATCTAGTGAAAAACCTCATAGTTTCATGTTATTTTTCAAAAATTTCAACAGAAGATCTTAATTTGTCCACTGATTTCCCATTTTGGACCATTGTGCGATGAAAATTTGATAAACTGAACCCAATTGAATGCATTGAAAAGAACATTGCTCGCCATGATCTCTGCAGGGGACCAATAGTCGTACATCATTTTTAAAAAGTTAGGCAGAAGATCTTACTTTGTCCACTGATTTCCCATTTTGGACCATTGTGCGATGAAAATTTGATAAACTGAACTCAATTGAATGCATTGAAGACCGATAAGAACATTGTTTCACATGATCTCTGCAATAGACCAACAATTTTACTTCCATTTTTAAAAAGTTTGACAAAGAATCCTTATCTGTCCACGATTTCTCCCCATTTTGGACCACTGTACGTCCAAAATTTTTGAAACTGAACACAGTTACATGCACGGGGGCTCAATAAGAACATTTACAGCCCAAACCCATCAATAGTGTAACTTTTTCGTCCATTTTTCCCGTCTTTTTGCTGTAAAAATGCTGTCCAGAATGATGGCGATTTGGCAACTTTGCCCCCCCATTTCTCAAAAACGGTGCGTATACTCAAGCTAAAATTTTTACCAGAGTTTTAGGGTATCATAAGGTATCGTTTGGGCCCGGTTTCAGAAAAATCCCTTCTGGCCCAAATTGTGCCATTCTTGGCGTCGCTCTTTACCTGAAGTGTCGTTGTTCATAAAATTGGATGGCAGCAGAATTAGTGGTGAGGACATGCAGGAACACTGCTTTACAGGAACTATTCTCCGCTGTTGTCAGGTGAGAGATGAGATTGTCCAAGAGTAAAGAGGCAACGCCATTGCGTCGATGATCAGGACTCACACCCAAACTTAATATATATCCCACTTGAGTGTAAGATTCCATTGAGGCGGACAGAATATCTTGATCCTGAAAAAATGATTTTAAAACATAGGTAATTATGTCATTGTTCATTTTCATTGGATCTCAATTTTATTGCAACAAGTTAAAGTTTAAAAAAAAATTAGCATAGGTAATCATACAGGCTACATGAATTGAGTCTAGATTAGTTGATCAAAAATACCTTACAAGACGATTGATTGTTCACAAAAATCGGCTATCTACCACAAAAAAAACACTAATCTGACTGTAAGAGGAGAGAAAATAAAAACGTTAAAGGAGAAAATAATTAAAAATAAAATTTTCTAAAATGAAATGGATCAGGTGCAAATCCATCATTTGATTCAAAATATCTCAGTAATATGGATATTGCTTTAAAGTAAAATTAATACCGCTTAAGACTTACTTCTTCATTTAATTTAACATACGGCTTGATTTCTGCTACAATTAAACCAATTATGACACCATCATACACTGCTGCAAGGGAATAAAACCTAGGGTTGGAGGTGATGTCCAGATACCATGAATATGGATAGTAAATGGGAAAACAAGTTTGGCACAGAGCTTGGACCTGTAAACAATTCAGTGAAATAAGTTGGATACACTTTTGTAGATAAACCCATGCCATAGAATAATAGCTACCAATATAGCTATTATTCTATGCTTATGCACCCAAGAGAAAGCAGCATGTTTTAAAATCAAATGGAACCATTGATTAATTTGGGCAGTTTCATTAAGTACAAGAGGAATCTTATAAGATAAGTATTATCTCCTGTTCAGTTTTGGATATTTTTACTGAATACAATCCAGATGAAAAAATAAGAAGCAATTTTTTAACAGAACAGTTTGATCCCTTGATATATTATTTTGTCTTAATTATTTACAAAGGCATCAGCTCTGTCCATAGCAATTTTTTTTAGGTCTTAATTGATGCGCTGGTGAAAAAGGCTTCAAAAATTCCACTTTCAGCTCGGCAATATCCATTACACAGTTCATCACAGTTATATCAGCTAGCTTAGCAGTCATAAACCTTAACATATTTTGAAAATATGGCCCACTGAGAAAACTTGTTGAGTAGAAAACTTACTAAAATTAGTTCAATGCCTTACTTATAAGACTCCAGTTGCCATTGGTATCTTTGAGAGCAAAAAGTTTAACTAAACAAACTCAAAAACACTATTTTCTCACAAAGGCATTGAAATTGGAAACAATCAACTATCGTATTCCACATAGAATTTTGATGAGGGGACATGTGTTGCAAAGTTAATTATATTGCTGTGTCTAGTGGTCTGTTAGCGAAAATTGGAATACCAACGTTCCAGCTTTAAAAAAATGTAAGTAGTTTGAAATTAAAAAGCAATCAAGCTGGAAAAGAATCAGTGCATGATGAACCCTGCTTAAATTTACATTATGAAAACTAATGATTGGCATTTTGGTCTGGTAATCAAGAAAGGAAGGGAAATAATCAAGTACCTCTTCGATGTCATTGTGGCATAAAAATCGTAACTGCAGATTAGATTGACTGCACAATGGAACTGATTTTTTCATACAAGGCTTGTGGTCATTACTCGTGTCGGTAGCGTACCTAGTAAGGAGCAAAATAAATAATTATGACTGCAAAATTGCCAAGATTTGCAAAGATTTGCAAGTATATTAATCGTAAAATACAAAAAGCGTTTTTCATTCATTTGTGATATTCTACGCTTCCTGTCATGATTTACTTTTGGTGGGAGGGACCATTCAATAGATTTTATTGATGACTTCTTCTGGGATTCGTTTTCATTGTTTGAGGGATTAGGGTACTTTACAAATTTCAAGTAGTAAAGTTGACTCTTTTCCTCTAGGGAAAATAAAATGAGAGGATAAATTTCAAACATAGTTGAAGATGTATAGTTTGTAAATTTAGCCATTGTTGTGTTGATTTAGACTTAAAAATTGAACTCCATTCTTCTCCAATAAAATCAAAAGTTTGGCATTTAAATTTTTTTACAAGGTAAAGTTCATCAGGCTACTAAAACAAAAATTAGGTATGCTGTCATTAAATATAAATGAGGTCAGCCTCATTAGTAGTACATTTCAATAATAATCTTCATGGTTTCTGTTCAAAGGCAAACTTGTGTCAGAACATATTCAAAACTTGAAAATTCGTACTACTGTCACTGTCATGATAAGTCAGTATCATGAAAAATGAAAGACAGTAGGGCCGGTTGACAAGTATAAATTGAAACACAAAGCAAAATGTTTTCACTTCAAAATTTTACAAGAAAAAAAAATCACATAATAGGATTTATCTAGAAATCAACTTCTAAAGAAGATGTACTATTGAAGATAAAAATTAATCATGGTTAAATGGCATAAATACAAATGACGTCACTTGTATAAACTAACTTCTATTCCATCTGTAGGGTTGAAAAAACTTTTGAGTGCTTTGTTCAGGAGTTGATTTTCGAACTTTCTGGTATGCGAATTGTTTTTAATGTAAGATTTTAAAGGGAAGACATACGCCGGTTTTTTTCTAGTTCAGGTCGGCAGGAGCTTGTCTTAGAGTATTATTCTGTTTAGATAATATTCTGTTTATCTTATTTTGGTGCTTTCAGTATAATAAGATTTGATCCCAAATCAATAACTTCTTGAGACCCTATCTAAGTTCAGACTTTCAAATTGGAAATTGAGTCATTAGAAAATGACTCGATGAATGCGCAGACTTCACGCTTTTGACCCTTCAAGAGACTTGAGCTTGTGAAGAATCTCATTGACATATAATCCGTATAAAATCTACAGCTATTAGATGCAGCTGTGTGATGAAACTGGATTCAAACCAGCAAACAAAAATGTAAAAAGCCTTGAAATTTTCATACTCACCAACTAAATGAATCCATGAAAATTGATTTTGGCCACCAAAGTGGCATAACCTAGAAAAGGAATTGACATGACGATAACGAGAAGCTTGGAAGAAACATTTATCCTCCAGAGATTTTACTCACGCTCCTACATGAAATCGGTTACTGAGAAAAGGCTAAGCTGGGTAGTAATTAAAAAATAAAAGGAAGTCACTGAGTATTGAGTAAGAACAATTTTTGATGATAAGAATGTTTACCAATACAAGTTGTTATCATTGAAATGAAATTCGGAAGTGTTGGTCGATGTGCTCATCGGATGAGCTCACCGTTGATCATTTCTAGGTTAGGGTTGATAAGAATGTAAACAAATGTTTGACAGCTAGAAAGAAACTCACGTGGATTAAAAAAATGGATTAATTAGTCACCCTCTCCCTTAGAATATCATATTGTGGAATCTCTGAGTGAAAATAATTAATGAAAAGTCTTCATCATCTCCAGCTGAAATATTTTGAGTTTTTTTTATGCAATTGTGGACTTTTTTTATGAAAGTCGTCAATATTTGTTATGATCCTTAAAAACTTATTGGTAAGTCTCTCAGAGGAATTCACCCCTTAAATATGCGTTATGTCTTTTCTCGATTGGTTTTAGCAAGTAGGTAAGGCAAGTCTAGAGCAAACCCCAGAAAGGAGGAAAGACGTTTTAAATGAAATGCATTTTAACTCTCTTCTGAACTTTAGAGAGCAAATATGCACAGGAGTTGCTGGAGGTCCTCTTTTCCTTGCGCATCAATTTCTTGTGCTGTTTCAGTGGTGTGCTGAAGAAGAGTGCTGTATGAACATTCGAAGGTTCTTAATTTTCCCCTTGATTGGATGTCTGTTTTTGAAGAAACTTATGAATATTTTCTCATGAAGTTTTCAGATACTTTTGATCAAAGTGCCAATTAACTTTTCCAGAAGACTGAATTAAAAATATTCACAGGTTTCCCAGAAAATTCATACTTTTTAAGACAACTAATTGAAATACTTCCCCAAAATTCTTTAACTTTCTTTAACCCATGAAAAAATTCACAGAGAAATTCACTCAAAAAAAGTTGTTACTATAAGTCAGGTTTTTTTTTGTAAGGGAATGAAACACGGGTGATGATTTGAAAAACTGTAATTTGAGGCATACTTATATGCAATGCAGACGGGCATTAGTGAAGTACAGTATAGTTACAGCATTGAACTATGCCATCATTTTCAGATCTGGTATTATGATTTTAACCCACCTTCAATTCAATCAGCCATGTATTCTGAAATTTAACTGCTCTATGATTCCACAACCGAAGCTGTTGATGAAGTAATCATTAATGTTGCTTTAATAATATAAGGAATCACTGATTTAATTTTAATTTTTCAGGGGTTATAATAATTTTCTCTTTTTTACCAATTGTTTTTTAAGTTGAATCTTGTCTTATCTTTTCCTTGTTTCCTCCCGTAAACTTTCAATAATTTTGATCATTTACGTGTATGCATTTATTTCAGTTAAGCCATCAAGATGTCTGACACTTATAAATGTCATCCCTCTGCAAATAGAGTAAGAGCGTGTGCACATCTATTCCTCAAACCCCATCACTATTTGCCAGGCCTAAATTTGCACAAAGAGGGGACAGAGACATTTAGCAGTTCGGAGAAAGATTTACTTACATTCTCCAAACCCTTTCCTTTCAAATCATCGTACCCAGTACCACTTTTACCTCCAAATAGCATTGGAATTCCAGGTATGTATCCGTAAGCTCACATTTAATTAAGTTCATAGGGTGTATGTCAATTTTTTTCTCCCATAATATCTATTCTCTTCAAATATTTTCCCACCAATTGAACGTATCTTTTACTGATACGTTCTTTGAAGTAATGGGTAAGCTCCAGTTGCATTAATTAGCTGCAAAAATTTAAACCTCCCGAGAATAAAACGAAGCAAGCAAAATCTTAATGATTATGAAGAGGAAGAGTGGAAAGTCTTGTCTTTACGGGGCGTTTCATGGAATTTTTCCCAGGGAAAATCTCCCTCGCAAAGTTGGGAAAAATTTTGCGTCAGTCAATACTAATCACAGTACCTATCAAGTAGAGTCATGTGAAGTATGAGAGAAATTTGGAGAAAAGAAGAAATTTTGTTGTTTTGCCAATGTAGCAGGGCGAAAGCCCAAAAGTTTCATTCCTGCAAGTCGAACTTGGAACAAATCCTATGAAACATCCTGTGGAGACAAGGCCTAAGGTTTGGAAATTACTCTATCCTTATGACTCCTGATAAGTGCAATATGATGTTTTAGTTCAAAGGTAATTTTTACTGGCAAAATTCAAGTATTTTTGCAAAAATGTCAAACCTTGGAAATGATTTACAGAATAGACAACAGCTGAGTCTTTCTTCTCTGTGCTGCTCCAATTTTACCCCGGTTAAGGCATCATCACACTTACTGATAGAGCTCCTCCTCCAAGTTTTTATAATTTTCTTGTTAATATGGTCACAAGAGATTCCATTAGTTTGGATTATTATTTAACCATCCATCATTTGATTGCCTGATACCACAACAATGACTGTTAGAAGCATTTTCGTACATTTAGGGCTTCAAACAATATCATTATCTCGTCCATATCAGTAATAATTTTACATCAAATGAACAGGTAATGCGTCATAACCATTCAAAGCCTCCAAAATCCAGAAATGTTATCACAGTTTTTTTCCTATATCTGGCCATTATCTGAATTGAATTTTGGTGTATTGTAATTATCCATAACCGGTTTTCAATTCAAGGAACTGTCCATCAGTTCTACTTGTATTTCTTAAATGTTATGTGCCGGTTGTAGTCAATATTAGTTTTAAAGAGATTGTCCAAGTTTCAAAGCAATTTACTCTCATTTCAATTCCCTGTGCTATATTTTCGTTCCACTTTACAGTTCAGGAAATAAGTTAACTGTCGTGTGTCAATCTTTGTTGCAGCTGTAAACAAGTTTGACTTGTCTCTAGCTTTAATTAGAGAAAAGTATATCAGGGGAAAAAAGCTCAAAAAAGTAAAACACAGCTGCAGATCTAGATATAAAAAAGATGGTAAGTTACTTCCTAGAGTCACCAAATCCAGAACAATTACTAGTGTGCTATCAAGCTAGTAATACGTACCTGTATTTTTCATTTCTCTACTTACGTCATGGATAATAATCAAGATTGCAAATGTTTTGTCGATAGTATATTTATTTGGCGGAAACAACAGGATTTATACTTGTTCACTGTTGAGAGAAAAATATGCATAAACAATTAAACTCAAAAGTGGTAACTTTCCTTTGAAAGTTAATTTTCGTATTTTTCAAATTCTAGAATGTAAGAATAATCTGATCTCTTTACAATAGCATACACACAATTGAGAACATTTTTCGGAAAAGTATCCAGCAAACTTAAGGCATTATGCCCCACTTTATAAATTTCACCTGTTCTAAGCTTTTATTTTTCTGAGGGTTTTATGCGTGGTTGTGCTCTATTTCCAGATGTTTATAAGGCCATGGTCGATAGAATGCCCCTTGATTCCAACTTGGACGATGATTTGAGTGGAGTCTTACCTGTCAATATAGCGAAACTTGCTTTGCTTTACGAAGATGACCCTGATCCTTACTTCAAAGGAGTAAGCATTCATCTACTTTCATTTCTGTGGTCATTATTTTAACTCTCCATCCAACAACTGTTCAAAAAAGGTCCCCTTTCAATGTTTTCCTAAATTCGTACTTGTTTTTCAAGTTCCAAGAGCAAGGTACTTTTTGTTCCCTTAAAAATAGATAATTACAAAAATCCAGCTTCGTGCACTTATAAGGAAGTATGAACATTCCCTCTAAATTCATGGCTCATCCAGAATTTGTTAAAAGTGCTTCAAACTGAAGAATATATTACTTAGGTACACACATTTTATTCAAATTGCCCCTTCTTTTGAAGTTGAAGGCAGTTTTTGAACCAAAACTTTTATCTTATTCCTCTCCTATTCATCTTCTCATTGTTTTTAACAAGCCTTCTTTATTTCGTTGAATATTTACAGAAATATAACTGGTACTATGGTGGAACATTGTCAGTTCAAAAAAACAAAAACATGGAATTTGTCACAATATCAGCTGCTGGGAAAGCCTTAGATGAACTTCGTAAGTTTTTTTTTCTTTTTTTCTTTTGCCTTTTTCTCTTTTTCCTTCTTATTTGGACTTATTTTTGGCGTTTGTCTCTATTACCCTGAATTAAATCTAGAATTAAATCTCATTACAACAGGGATGTAGAATTTTCTAAGCTTCCATTTTTTTACGCGCCTGCCTGCTGGTATCCCATATTTTTTCCATCAGTTTTTCACAAAATTCTCCACCAGCTTCAAAATGTGTGACCTTTTCCTCCTTTTTTTTCTTTGACTCTAGACTTTCAACCCTTCAGTATTTTCCCTCCTTTCTCCCTCATTTTAAGGGTCTTTCCACATTTTTGTGGTCGGGAATGTTTTGCGCTTCTGCATTACGCAAGTTTAACTTTGGTGGTTATCCATTTAAGAAGTATCCCCTTAAAATACTGCTTCCATATTTTATTCTAAAAATAATATAAATTCCAAACGAACCCTATGTTAGGTATTGTTGATGTATAGAGATCATAGATTTAATTAAAGAAGGGTATAGCCTGTGATCATAGAAAGAACTTAGAATACCTAGCCCCTGCCTACTGTAATCTAATCGTATGATTAGGCACTGTTTTCCTCAAAAAAGAAGTTGCTCTATTATCATAAAACTATAGTTAAACAGATCACAGACTTGGCAATCGCGATTATTAAATTTTATAAATTTTAACTCCCTTTTTGATAAGCTCTCGATGATGGGGGGGAGGGGGAGGGTGAATTACATATTTAAGACTGCTTTTTCTCCTATAATCAAGATTACTCTGTTGTTTCCTTCTAATACCTACGTCAGGAGATGAAGTGAGAATAAGTACCTTCTATGAACGTTCCCTCTTTAAAATCTTTAAGTAGCTGGAAAACGTACAAATGGGGAAAAGGTTGAAAATAATTGTCAATATACTTATCGGAATTTCCAAGTAAGGAATTTTTCAAAATTTTACAGATGAAAAATGAAATGGTGTCGTGAGAAATTGTGCAGATGGGGTGGAAACAGAATATGATGTCTAATTTAAATTTTCATCTGTCTTCATCAGATCAAATCATATTTTAAACATCTACCAAATGAAAGTGTAATTAACCGAACTGTATTTAAGCCCACTTGTAAATCACTTTAACCCTAAAATTTTGAAAAGTTATTGTTGCCCAAAATGAAATGCTTTGGTTATGACCATTTGTAATGGTCTTTTTCATTGTCTTCTATCATTACTCAATAAATTGTTTAAATTATGAAGTACCTATAAAAAGAGAGTATTCATTTAATAATTGAATAGATCATGCTGCAAGTTTAGTACTTAGTTTTGATAGTTACCAAAAGTTTTTATGAGGTGTGTAATTTTTTTCTTAATTTGATTTCAGATATGAAAACTTTCAATCCTTGTGAAAAATTAAAATGTGAAACATTCGTACTATCAGATCAAATGATGAAAGGGTCACCTATCTATGAAGTGTCTAAACTAAGGAAGAAAAGTAAGTTAAATTTTGATAATCAATCTTGTCAAAACTGTAACCTCAGCTGTAAGGGTCTCACTGCAAACATCAGAGATAGATCACCAGATTATCTTGTAGACAGTTTAGGGGTACAATTTTTTACATGCGCCTGGTCTTAAAAATATCCAAGTATTGGATCCTTTGTATTTGTTCAGTTCACCTAAGGGGAAAATGAGGAAAACAAAGTGAAAGCATTTATTTTGATTGGAGAGTTCCAAAATTTCTGCTCTTATTTTATTTATTTTTTTAAAAATGCGTTCATGTTAAACTTTTAGAATTTAACAGAAATCATGCAAAATCTTTTTCATCAAAAGAGTTGAGTTTTCTGCATTCAAATAGAAATGGCAAGAAGGTTGCTACATGGTGAATCGAGGTTCTATATTCACCATTCGAATGTGTAGTAGGAGTTGAAAGCAAGAGGAAGCTTAGTTATAAGTCCTGATTTTTTAAAAATCCATCTTAAGAAGTACTTAATTTTACAGAAGGATTTAATAGAAGTCCCTTGACCAACGAGTCCTTATGTGTGTTGTGAGTGTGACATTACGAAAATTGACAGACTGTGCTCCACTGTGAACTGAGGGCATTACCTCCAATTTTTTCTTTTTTCCCCCTCAAAATTAAGGAACAGTGGATAAAATACCTAGGGGAAGACGGGGTAATAAGAGAGTGGGACAATAAGGTAGATTGGATTTTGCCGCTCTCTGGTGAGTGATAACAGAACTACCGCCGTGGGGAACGAATCTTGGTCCATTGCCGCGTTTCGTATTTAATTCCGGGCCGAATCGGAAAAGTGGCTGGGACAGGACCAGCGTGTAAACTTAACCTCTTTTTGAACTGGGTTTCGAAGTTCGGGTACCTCGGCGCTTTAATCAACATAAAGTCAAGTAAACATTTTCATAAAAAATCGAACTATATATCATTTTGAAGCTTAGGATATGGGGCTTCTTCCTGATACTTGGTTTTTTAGATTAGTTTTTTTTTTTACTGATTTATAATGTTCTACTCTTATTGGCCCCAAGCGGTGACCCCTGTGGCTAATAAGAGAGTGAGGTTATGTCAGGGAGGGGTACAATAGTAGAATGAACACTAAAACTGTTGGTGATTTTTTTTTTCACATTAAATGACTCGAAACCGAAAAAAGAAGGGCCTGAGGGTGCCTTACACTAAAGAGAATTGGCAGGCACACAGGGGCAGGGGGATTGGGGTTTTTTTTTTGGGTATGGTTTTGATACAATTTCTAAAACTTGCATTTTGAATTCATTTCTTAAACTTAGCAATTTTCAAGTGTCAAAAGTTCATAACTCAAGAACTATTAGTCCGATCTCACTCAAATTTTGCAGGGCTATTAAGAGTAATGTAATGCTTGATCTTATATACTTTTCCGTACTTACAATTAAAATTTCATACGAGATACAGACCTGCTCTACTATTACCCCAGGGGGTACAATAAGAGAAAATTTTTTTTTAAAATATTTACATTTTTTTCCCGCTAAAATAAAGCACGAAAAACATTGAAACTTTGAGGAAGTGTTACTTACTGATAGGTGCATATGCCCTATTTTTTTCAAATTTGTAACTCAATTACAACTCTTCAAATAAGGGTGTCACTCTCTTATTACCCCATGGTCTCTCTTATTACCCCGCCTTCCCCTATTTTGTAAACTATTCATGAGAAATTCAAAGGAGATTATACGTTGTTAGACTTTACATCAGACTGACCTTAAAAACATGTCAGCTTTCTTACAGGAGTTCCCAAGCTCTTTGATTTTAATAATTCTAAGTATTTTCATCTCTTTGCAGAATTCTTGTCCATTCGTCAAAGAAATATGTGTGCTTTTTTGAAGTTATTGAAATCCGAAAACTCCATGAAAACCTTACTGTGTCTCGACAGTAAAGTGCCTTTTGTTGGTGTTGATACTTCTCCATTTTCAAAAAGTGAAGTTTGTATGATCAAAGCAAATAGGATCTTCCAAGTCTGGGATGTCGAAGGTTCAGTGAAGTAAGATATCGCATATAAATATATTCTGTTATAGCCCATTTCCAGAAGAAAAAGTTCTCTTTTGACCAGGAAATTCAATAATTCCATTAATTTCATTAATTTCCATTCCTCTATGGTTATTTAGCATTTTGAAGCTAATGATTTATTTCATTAAAACAGAATACAAACTTATTTTCACGGTATATTTGGGTAACTAGGGGTTTGAAATTTGTTTTATTCTCCAGTGTACATTGCCAAAATTCCAGTCCCAGCATATTATTGTGTTTAATTAATTATTGTACCTAAGCATTACTTCCTTTAGGGCTCTTTCTATGGGGGCTTTAGATCAGAGATTTTTTCCTTTTTTTTCACTTTTTATCACAATACTAAGTAGTAGTTAAACTATGTTTCTCTTGCAAAAAACGAAAACGCAAAGAAAAGAAAATGAGAACTCACAGTTGTATTTGTGGATAAACTCCAAAAACTAGCAGAGCTCTACATTTTTATCATTGTATCTTGTTTCGAGCAACTCTCCTTGCCTACCTATTTTATATGTCCACCCTTTGAAATAAGTATCTATGTAGGGCGGTATGTATTAATTTTTTCATTTTCATTATTTCTACAGAGAGCCGAAATTAAAAGGTCAATTACCAACCAAAGTGCACTACGCGGATAATTGGTGCAATTTCCGCTATGGCAGTCAACCCAATGAAGTTTTAGCCGCTGATAGAATCAACACTTTCCTTTATGATCTCAGGGTAATGTACTGCCAAAAATTTAACAATTGCTGCCTCGTAGATTTTTTGCACCAATTCAAAAATCTGTTTTATCCATTAGTTGATCCATTTTGTTGGATCAGTTTTGTTTTCCATCGAAAAACATGAATTTTCCTTAAAGATTGGACTTTCACAAGGAAAATTCAATTTTTCAGAAATCTTTGCTTGATAGGGGAAAAAGCAAAGTAACTCTCAGATTCAGCAGCAAAAGCACGTATGAAAACATGTATTGCATGTTTAGAAAATTTTCCTCATTGTTCAAAATATTGAGATTATCCGGTCAAATGCCCTCTTCTGTCCACATACCACCATGTAAATTTTACTTGATCGTTTTGCATTAGAGAGTGTGAGGAAATATTTTTATAGAGGTCAAGTGGGGCACTTTTCTCCTAAATTTTTGCCGCCGCAACTAAAAATGACCTCGGTTTTTTGTCCAGCACTTTTGGAAAATTGAGTTTTGAGAAAGAGAAGTTCTTGGAGCTAATAAATCGCTTTTTTTGTGAACTCGATTTTTCAAAGTATGGTAGGCGCTGGAATAGAACTGAAGTCATCAGATATCTGAGGAAATATTTGTCCTGATCCTCTGCCATGCTAAACAATCAAGTATAAATTACATGGCGGTAATGGGCATAAGAGGGTATTTGATTGGAAAACTTCAATATGAGGAACAGAGGAGAAAATTTGTAAGGATGCAATGCATATCTCTCTACTTATTTTTTATTGCTGAGTCAAAAAAAGAAGTGACCTTGATTTTCCTTTACCTTGCCCACATTTTTCAAAAAGTTCCAAGTGGAATCTATATCTGAAGATTAACTTGTTGGTTCAGCAGAACTCGGATCAGAACTCAGGAGTCGGGCACGATACTTATTGATCTATAATTAGATGTGCCTGTATTTAGGTCGGCTTGCCATAAGTCAAAACCACTCTGCAAAAATTTAAAAAGGAATGTCTGATTTTTTTTATTTTTCAGGCTTCAGTGAGCCATCTTTTAACTGAGTTGTCAGCAGAATTATGGTGTTTGGAAGAAAATTTGAGAAAACAACCCTAATTTCTCAACTTTTTTCAGACACATTCAAGAATTTTCTTAATTGTAAAATTGTAAATAGATCATTTCTCAAAAAACCCTAAATTTATTTGGTTTTTGTTTCAGATGGATTTAACTAAACCTGCAAACCAGTGGAATCCTTGGAAACAAAGCGAACTTTGCGAAGAAATCTCTTTACTACGCTCAAGTGCAGTCAGTCCAGTTCATTGCTATGTTGGCACCTCTCATCAAATATTTTCTCTTGACTTAAGATCCTCATTTTGTCAGAGATGGACTCATATGTTACGAACTGCTCCATATATTGCCACTTCTGTTCGAAGAGATGACATGTAAGTCATGCGTAAGAATCAAATTTATAGATGTAAATTATAAAGAAATGGATTAGTTATTTCTCTAATTGATGTTTTTCATTCATAATTTTTTTTTAAATTTATTACATTTTAAAATATATTATCATTTAACAATATTTATTATTGACCTCACAGTAAAAGTCCTGAAATTGCTGCGAGTCCAAAAAGTCTTGCTCTCATAATATTTGTTAGAAGGGAATGGAAAGAAAAAAAATACTTACAAGATGAAAGAATATTCAATAGTATGGAGTGTTATAAAATTTTGTCTCACTGTATGATTCAAGATTTAGGAAAAACTTGGAGTTCAGTCCATTTTGATGGAACACTATCTGACGACTCAAAAATCTCCGTAAGAATGCAAGGATTTCACTGTTTGTTTGTTTGTTTTTTTTGTTTTTTTTTTTGGATAATTTTAATTGAAAGAGAATCGAAAAAGAAACTTGGTGTTTGGACAGATCTGATTTTTTGCCAATCAATAATTTGAACTCATGAAAACACAATGCTGTGACCAGCACAACTGACCCATTTCAGCAGTGAAGTAATGTGAGGTGAGTTCAGGGAAGGAGAAAACAAGAACAAAACCAAGATTTTTTCTGCATCATAAATTCTTTGATGAAATAATGATTTCACGATTCACCAAAATAGCATCTCATCTCCTCACCTTTTGATGTAACCTGATAGAATTCATGAGCTAATCTTAACCATTAATATGTTTTCTCAGTTGAGGATAAAATTGCCAACTTTTTTGGAAAATGCACAAAATAGATTAGTCCTCAAAAGTTGTTCCCTCTTTCCTGTCATTTATTTCAAGTTGTATTTTCTTGTTTTTAGGGAATTATTACTATTCTGTAGCCAACATACACCCAGAGTAGAATGTATTATCAACGACTGGACGTCTGTTGAGGTCCCAGTTTCTCGTGTTTTTCCTAGGATTCTCCCCTCCATCGCAGATGTGTATCAAGAGGCAAAACTATCCAATATTTGTAACCATCCAATCGTTGAATGCAGGTAATAAGAAAATTTCAAGCTATTAATTTTGCTTCTATGTTTATCGCTTGAGTGCTTTATGGATCTTAAAAATTATGATGCTTTGTAAATAATTAATCCATCAAATGAATACTTTAGACCTATTCATCCGTCTGCATGTGTTTAAAAATTCCTCAGTCAAAGAATGTCAAACTGAATAAGCTTTTCTTATTTTTATCTGATATCTTCATTCCTATGCCTGATGATGTTTCACCATAGGAATCTTGATTATTTTTGTAGGCACTACCAGGAATGTGTAGTGCTGAGGCAAAATATCCTTTTTTTTTTGTTTTTTGTATTCTGTCGTTTTAAATTACACACTATCTCTGATTTTTGACAAGTAACTTCAGTATCATTTAAATTATATACTGTTGCTGTGGAATTTCCAAGTTTTAGAATTTTAGAGGTGAACTTTGTAAGTGAAGGTATATAAAATTTTCTTGAATTCTTTCTGCACTAAGTGGTGTTTTAAGAAGAGCCCAAATCAAATCTCAGCAGCATACCTCGAAGACATAACTTCAGATTGCTGAGATAGTCAATGACTCAGAGCTGTTTTGCTCTGAAAAAAGCGATGGTATTTTTGTTCCTGTTTTTTTTTTTTTTTTTTTTTTTTTTTTTTTTTTTTTTTTTTTTTTTCTATTTATTTATTTATTTTTCTTTTTTGTCTCTCCAGTCAAATACCCAAATTATTTTTTTCATTTCTGTTGCAGGTTTGACAGCTGTTTAACAGGACTGGCATCAGTGAAGAATGAAAATGATTTCGCTTTACTCAGTAACACCTCATCAGGTGATATTTTTTATCAAACCTTAAGTTTCTCAGAAGAACCTGACCAATCCAAACCAACATTGAATAAAGTGGAATTGAAGACGTTGAAACAGTTTGAGAAGAAATGCGTCAGAAAATTTACTATGGAAAAGAAGACTTTACATGTTACCAGTGATTTTGCAGATTTTCATGAGGTTGCTGAAAGTAAGTATGTATATCACCTCAGTGTTATTTTGGCATCCTTTTTCTAGAGAATCCTTGAAACTTCATGGTCTGGTAGCTGAAACGCATAGTGATACTGGCAGTCGGATGTTTTCCATTGAAAGATGAAAGACAACATACATGAACTGATATGGCCCAGTTTGGTAACATCTAGTTGCTTGTCCCTTTTTATTATTCATACAGTGAGACATAGCTGATCCCAATAATAGTGTTTTCTCAGATAGTAGTCAGGAAACCAGTGAGTTCTATGACTAATGTTGTGCTCAGCAATGAAGATTTGAATGAATCTAGAATTCAACTTCCATTTCTACCTCTGCACTACTGCATGCACGCATGAGCCCATGGAGCCAATAATTCTAAGTGTTTTCATGAGATTTTTTCTGATGATTGCACCAGTCAAAATGATTGGTGAACTACTGTAGTGAATGTGCAAAATACTGTTTTTGTCAGTTTTTCCCTGTTATGCTGTATTTTTTCTTTCTGTTAATAAGTGTTCAGGGAGCATTCATAAATTACGAAATGCACTTTTTTTGCATTTTTCACCCTCCCTGTCTCTCATATAACTTTTTTATGATGTAGGTCCCCATCCTTTAACACATAAAAAAAAAAAATGGTGGAATCTTCTCCTAACAGCAACAGCGTTACGTAATTTATGAACGGTTCAGACAAATTGAAATTATTTCTTTTGTACTTACTCTTGTTTATTATTTCTTACTTTCTTAAAAATAGAGTTAAAGATGGGGGAACCGGAGGCAGAAGAAGTAATAAAACCCACTGTGGAGCACTGTGCAGGTTGGCAAATACCGAAGGATTTTCTTGAGAGCTGTAAAGATTATCTAGCCCCAAGACTATTAGAAATGTGGGACATCAAGGACCTTCCTGACTGGTCTATTGAGCCAACTCCAGGTAATGCCAAAATTATTGCACATTATTAAAAATTAAGTAGGTATTTTTTGATGGCATAACTAAGCCTGTAGGCTGAAATGTTAATGCAAAGCAGCATTAAAGAGCATATGTATGTATAGGCCACTTTTACGGCGCGCTAGGGGAGTATTAAAGAGCGTTCTTGAATTAAACCCAGCCTGAAAAAAATGCCACTAATATATTAACTCAAAAGATTGTCAAAGTTGTATGATTGATTCATTTTGAGTTTTTAGGGATTCTGCATTAAGTAAAATCAGGAGATTGACGATCAGGACGATGACTTGCAAGCTCCAAAATTTTTCAGGGTGGTGTTGTGGAGTATGGAGATCATAGCATGTTTTACATATCAATTCCCTTGATTAAGGATTCTCTGCGAAAGTTTTGTTCTATCAGTGTGAGGGAAACTGGAAAATTGAAGGATTAGAGAGGTTTTTCTGAAAAGGCTGTAGCGATCCAAAAACAAGAATCTTAAAACTCACATAAATCAAACTGTTTCTTATAATTCCATACAAATTCAAACGTTAAAGGTTCTTTACTTCCAAATTAATATACGTCTTAAAATTTACACCTGTTATTATGACTGAGTGTTTCTCAGTTGTAGCATCATTCTGACCTTTTGAGTTGATGATTATTATTTCATTCAATTACAACGCCAATCTTAAATTTAAAATCAATCTTGATGTCTGTTGAAATGGTGTGTTGTAACCATTGTTATATTTAAACATCTTCTATATATTGCCAAATGTTATCAAGGAAAGATAGTCACTTATGATGTTGACTATTCAAACCTGTTTCACTCTCACTAAGCATCATCAACTGAATGGTTAATTGTGATGATTGTACATATCACTTCCAATGCAAGGGATTTGTCAAAATAAACATAAAAGCAAAACAAATAAGTAAAATACAACAAACCATTATTATTTTATTTACTTTGGTATGTCATATTTTCGTTGTTCTGTTTTGTTTTATGTTCATTTTGACAAACCTTTAAACATGTAAAAAGTGATGAGTGACAATTTGACAATATCCACAAATTTCTCCATAACCATTATTTCTCATTCAATTTTGATTCAGGTAAGGAACTAGAGGTGACAAGCTCATGGCCAAAGAAACTTCCCATCCAACATAAAAGAAGTATAAGAATCCAAAAAGAGAAAATGAACAAAGCAGATAAACTTTTCAGGAAGGTAGGAGAGGATGCAAATACTGAAATGCCAGGTATTGGAGATTTGACTAAAAACGTAGAGAACCCCACTGAAAAAGAAAGCGAAAACCAAAATAATGAGAGTGATAACTCTGCAACTGGAGATTCGACTAAGAAGGTAGAGACACTCACTGAAAAAGAAAGTGAAAATCAAAATAATGAGAGTGATAACTCTGCAACTGGAGATTTGACTAAAAAGATAGAGAAACTCACTGAAAGAGAAAGTGAAAATCAAAATAATAACAGTGATATGTCTGCAACTATCACCAAGAAAAATAATAAATCTAAAAGGGTATCATTTCATTGTGATGAAGTAGATGAAAGTTTTGACAAGGCCACTGTGATTTCTAAAATACTGGAAGAAGTCAGAAGAAGTATGGAAAATGGGTCGCAAGGGAAGAAGAAAACAAAGAGAAAAGAAAACAAAAAAAATTATACAAATATTGAAGTCTCAGCGAAGCAAGGAAAGCAGAAGGAACATTTTGCCAAAATTGCGGAGTCAGAAGATAAAGAGGCAACAACATCGTATGCAGAAGAAAGAAAACGCCCTGAGAAGATTGAAAATGCTACGCAAATACAGAAATCTGTCGAAAACCTTAACAAAGGAAGACGGAAAGAGAAGAAAATTAAGAAAAACCAAAGTTGTTTGAATCAAGAGAAATGTACACAAAAAGATAATGGGGCAATATCGATGACCTCTGATTTAGATCAAGTGATACTTGATGGAGTAAACCTAATAACTCACTCACAAGGAACAGATATGATGATTACTGAGAAAGAGAAAAAAGAGAAAAAGAGACCGAAGAAAAAAGAGAGATACATCAATTCAAAAAACGACACTGGAAAGGAAATAGTCGTAGAAGACACTAGAAATAATGACTTACAAAGAATTGGAAAGGCTGGCTCGGAGCAAAAAGAGCTTAAAAATTTAGACAGAACTTCTGAAATGTCTGGACTCCCATATCAAGAAATACCTAATTGCTATGAAAGTGCCTCCCAAGAATTAATTTTACCAAGACTGGAAAATATTGATGGTCAAAGCTCGTTAAGCCAGAAGTCAGATACCCAAAGGTCTGACCAGTCTCTTAATGAACAGAACAATTGTAATCAGTTAAATACTGTATCTGCAAAACAAAAAGCTGAGAAAGCGATTAGAAAAAAAGAGGAAAAGAAAAAGAAAAATAAAAAAGAGGAAAGTGAAAGTTGTCTCTCGAGTGGCACAGACTCAAAAGACTGCGAAACAGATCCGAAAGAATTCAAAAATACTGAACCTTCCCAATTATCAATAACATCTAGTCCAAAGTTGGTTGAGGAAACTGTAAGTGTTTCCAAAAACACAAGCATACCCACCTGTGGGACTTCACCCATGCATAGAGAGCCCTCTCAAAAATTAGAAGTTGGAAGTGGTGAATTGTTCCTACCTCCTCCTGCTCGCGCTAAAGAAAGTTTGCAACAGTCACCTAGTAAACAAGAGCAAATCAAAATACGATCACCATGTGATAATCACCAAAGTTTGAACGCAGATGCGATCTGTCACCAGCAAATGGACCATTTTGTCAGCAGTACAGGGGTTTCCTCCATTCCTAATCACAGCAGGGTCTCCCCTGATATATTCGAAACTACCTACATAATACCTGACAGGATAACAGATCCCTCTGCTCATGATAGCTCTACTACCTCAGGTTTTGAAACTGATGATACAAGCAAAAAAAGAAAAAAACGCTCCAAGAAATTGAAAAAATCACCTGAAGCAACCTCTGCATCCTCTGGAAGTGAATCACAAAAAAGCCATGGTCAGAGTGCAGAAACTAGTATTTCTCTGTTGAAAAATATTAAAATAGTTTTCTCGCCTGATGCCAAAGCTGTTCATAAGGAGTCCTCCTCTGTAGATGAGCCAATCCCTGAACCATCTTCAAACAAACTTTTGGAAAATCACCATTCTGAAAAATCAGAAATCACTGCAAATGACAGTTTCCTTGATCAAAATTTCCAACTTGATTTCATGTTGCCTGCAGCCACAAGCACACAAACCGTGTCAGCGAACAAAAACATGCTGGAAGATTTTGGTCTCTCAATGCAGACATCTTTTCACTCTGAAAATTTAGGAGCTCTCGGAAATAAATTCAAATCTCATGGTGGCCTGAGTGAATTTGATTACTCATATGATGATGATCCGTCCATGCAATTGTCTAACTCTAGCTTCACGAGGAAAAGAAAAGCTTCAATCCCTGAAAAATCTCCGAAGAAGAATTTACGATTATCACAGACTTACACTCCCGGTTTTTAAAAGTGACAGCTGAAACATCGCTCTTTTGTTACCAAGTAATGAAACATTATTTTTTGCTCAATTTTTCAGTGGTTGATTTTTTTAAAATTTGCACACTGTTTTATATTGTGCAAATATGTTTATTTTTGTATCCAAGGCCCTAATTGTATACAAGAGATTACTGTATAGTTTTAATTTCCAACTGTGATTGCCTAGCTGAAAAAATCCTTTTTAAGATTTTATCCTTTGATTTTTTTTGTAATAAATTATTCATTTTGTTTTTGAATTGATATAGATTTTTTTAAAAAATTTTTGGTCCTTTTTTTAGTTGCTCGAAAACTCGTTTTTAATTGAAGTTACATTCACTAAAAAAATGCGTTCTATGTTGAAAACTGACATAGCGGCTAATGGCAAGAATGACCTTCAACCTTATACCTGTGAAGTAAGCAAATTTTCACCAATTTGAGAAATCAGGGGAATACTGTGTGACAGCTCCATTGTCTGCATCGTATTCTGCAAGTTTAAAAACCCTTTATCTTGGGCCTAGAGTTAGATATCATTTCTAATATTTTTACACTCATAGATCACTGACTAATTATATCTAGAATGAAAATAATTCGACTTTCCTAAAATCGTTAGTTTTTCGGCTTTTAACTACAGACATTTTAAGGGGGGGAAATGAGCTCCAATGTTCATTTTTTTTCTAAGTATAACTGAAGTTTGCGTTGAAAGTAAATAGGTAAAGTACTTCATTTAAACAAATACATTGTGCTCTTTGTTGTGAGGTTCTTTCTTCATTTTATTCTTATCACATATAGGCACACATACACACTAAGACAAAACCAAGTCGACAGTAACAGACTGACAGATTTCTTTGGAGTGAAGCAAAGTGAAGTAGGTACCTACCTAACGCAAAGCTCATAATAATTTTCATTATATAGCTTCTATTGTTAATAATTGAAGTGTAGGTACTTAGTGCCTAAACATGTTATTGGTGATATTTTTGTGATTTCGAAAAAAGGAGTTTTGAATTGAAAGAGGCACGTGGGACCTCATTGAGTGACTAAAAGTCTCTGCAATTACCTAGTGTTGTGCAACTAAAAATTGGGTCATGACTTTCAAATTTCTTCAACATTGCTTGAAAACTAACTCCTGTCTGGAAAATCGATACCTAACTTTATTAAAAGCGCCTCTTGATGTGCTCATGCACTTAATTCTGCTGTTACCATACTGCACAGACCTGGTTTCCCAAAAACTTAGAGTTTCACTCTGTTAAAAATTATTTCTAAGTTTCATACTTAAAGGCACTTACCTAATATGCTGTCCCCAAATTTGTTACTCAAGGTCTATTGCGTGTCGTGATCAGGGCCGGCTTTACCCACTTGCCGCCCATGGGCCGCCTGTATTTTGCCGCCCCTTTCTCATTCGTTTTGAAACATCAATAAAAACCATCAAGTGAACGTGCCGGAGGAATAGGGGTGCATAGGACGCGTTTACTCATGTTGAACACATTTTTTGCGAAAGTCCTGTCAGCATTACCAGCAAAAGTTCACGGAACTTTGCGCGAAAGTTAGGTTCCGTAAACCTATCTCTGTGTGGACAAGTCCTTTCATTTTTAAGAAATTAACGACAAAATTATGAAAGAACAAACATAAGTGTGGTTTGATAATTTTAACTTCGCCGCCGCGCTGACCGCTCTGTATTTGGCGCAATGTGTGAAGTATTCCTACAGTCTTGTAGGCGCTATGCGTTTCACGCCGTCCGCTGCAGAGCGCACTGTGTTTGACGCAATGCGTGAGGTATTCATGTAGTCTTGCAGGCGCTATGCGTTTCACGTTCACGCTGACCACCTACACTTTGTTTGACGCAATGCGCGAAGTATTCATTCAGTCTTGTAGGCGCTATGCGTTTCACGCTGACTGCACTTAGTTTGTATTTTTTTTTTCTGAATCTGATTTTTTCTTATACCTACATTTAAAAAAATTGTAAAATTGGCCGTCCCCTAAATTTGCCGCCATGGGCCGCGGCCCATGTAAACCCCCCCCCCCTTGTACCCCTTAAATTCGGACCTGGTCGTGATCGTTCTGAGGATTTTAAATATCCCCTTGCCTGCCAAATCGTGCCTAAAAGCAGCGACCCGATTTTTGGAACTAAGCCGGCCCGACACGATAAGACATAGCCCTATCTGAACCTTGCATCAAATCGCAATATGATGTCCTTTCGGACCTGCTGTAAACTTTCAATAATCGACCCGCAGGGTAACAACCTCATAGGTAATAGTTATGGTCTAGACCTAGCCCCTCCTCCGTCTTCTGACCCAGCATTTTTCACCACAAGGTTACTTTATGTGATGTTAGCGACTTTTTTAAACACTTCACCCCCCCCTCCCCCTCCCTCCTCACGAGAACAATTTCTTATCTGAGGCCCCCTTTTCCTGGAAAAACTTTTGGTTTTACGCTCGTTCGAATCGACATTGATAGAGCGAGAGGTGATTCGATACAACTATTCGAACCCTCATGAATGCGAATTGCATACGTGCCTGATTGAAGGCGACTGAGTTTAAGGTACTAGTACCTGAGCGATAAAACGTCATTTCCTATTTTTGTCTTCTTTTTTTTCGACAAGATGCCTACCTACTCTCTCAAAAAATTGGTTCCTTAGACTTCGATTTCCAAGGCAAGGAGGTGCCCAACTTAATTCCAGTCATCTCGAGCTGTCTCAAGGAAAGATCGCGCAAGAAATTCACTTTAAATTATAATGTTTGGAACTTCGTATCTCAGAACTGGCGCCGCACCGCGGTAGACAGTGCTACTGAACTGTCTAAAACACAAAATCGTCTCTACAGTACCGATAACCCTATTTCCCCAATAATGAAAGTTAAGTAGGTATACATTCTTGCTCTTGTACTATGAATTTTGAAATGCAGGCTCCCAAGAACAGAACTAAATAGGCATTTTTTATCACGAGGATAGGTATAGATGCGCACAGCCTCATTCAAGGCGGTTTTGAGAGGCGCAGAGAGACTCCACTGAAGAAAATTAAGAATTTTCAAAGAAGAAAAGAAAATTAGAGATGAAGGAAAGAGAAAGAAGAAGAACATAAAAGTGAAGTAATGTGACACTTGTAATCCTATCATAAAAGATAATAGAACATGAATTTTTATTCTCTCTGAAATCGATGCTGATCTGTTCACGTTTATCTGTTTCGATCGATTATATTCTTGTCGATTTCTCAAAATCGGACCCAAATTTAGACTCAACCGTTATACGATTGGAAGGCACCATAAACCAATTTGAATGATTTGACGCGAATTAATAAGTAAATTTACCTTTTGTGTCTACAAAAAATTTTCTGACCGAGACCGTCCGACTATTGTATTGGGGACTGTGCCCAATCTGCCGTCTTAACAGGGACCTGCTGACATGAACCTGGAAAAAAGAGAAGAAAGAATCGAGTAACAATACAGCCGAAGACAGGAGAGACGTATAGACCAATTTAGTGTGACGTCACATCTCGATTTAATTTCGATATCTCGAAAGTCGAAACGTGCCCCAACAAACGAACACATAGGAATCTGCGGGATTTAGGCAGGGGGGTAGGAGGATTCGCTTTATGACTGTCACTGATATTATGAGCTTATTATACAATCAATTCCTGTGATTGTGATCTCGAACGTTTTTGTAAATGGCTAGCTTTCATAATTTTAAAGTCCCATGGAGCATTTTTTTAGTTTCAGGCAGTTTTAGCATTATTTCGTCAATTGTTCATTTTGGAGGTTATGTTTGTTTGTTGGGGCACATTTCGACTTTCGAGATATCGAACCAACAATATCGCTCCGTGACGTCACCACTAAATTGGTCTATTAGGGCCTCTTTTTTAACTTTTCTCCCGACGACTAGCGACACCTGATTGGCAGCAGCACATGGCGGAGCATTACGAGTTTAAGCCTCGCGTCATCGCGCCTTCAATTTTTCGGACGCAGCACGGACGTCCATCAAGCACGAATAGTTGTATCTCTGCGCCGTAGTCAACGCGCATCCTTTCCCTCGCTCTACTCTAAGACTTTGATGAATTCTATACGTATTTTTGTTGGTCTCATTCAAAGTTATCCGAATTTTCTGGACCTATTTTAGCTTTTACAGCCTCTATTCACCCATGTGGTTCATCATAGCTAGAATTTCTACTTTATCCAATTTGGAAGCTACGCATTTCCCTTTTCTTTTCTTTTTTCTGTGACGCTACATTTATTTAATAAAATGCTTTTATTTATTTTGATATTTGAAGCAAGTTTGAGAGCCTCTGATTTTGCTTAAGGACGCTAAATCGTCTTTCTTTTCGAAAATTGTAATCGAGAAAAATTCTCAGTGCATCGAAGCTAATTTTACGACCGAGAGGTACCATTTTTTCACGTAACAGCGATTTTAAGCGAAAGTTTGCACTTCATCTAATCGAATGTCTGCTAGTGAGCGAAAAGTAAGTGTCATTCATTACTGTGTGATACACCAGTATGCTTCAATTTTTCGAAATTATTCAGTTATCGGATAGGTACTCAATGAAATCAAATAAAAAACTGAGCTCTTAGCCGATTTTTACTACAATGATGTGCGGACTCGGGTTATGCCTTAATAAAAACCAATGTGCAAGAGGATGCCTATATTTATAAAAAAAAAATTATATAAAATTTAACTTACCATTTTGAGGTAAAATTTTCATAAATAAATTCCTTACACATTGGTTTTTATCAAAGCATGACTTGAGTTCGCATACTAATCATGGTAGTGAAAATCGGCTAATAGCTCCGTATTCGATTGGATTCCAATTTTTCGCATCCTACTCTTCAAAATCTTGAACTAAGGACACAGAACCTGAATTCGGCAAACCAAAACATGCCCCCCCCCCCAAAAAAAAAAAAAAAAAAAATTAGTTTTTTAGCATCGTAGTAGGCTCAGTCGTTTCTGTGATTTATTTGGGCGACGGCAAACTGCCACCCGGGTGGCAGTTTTCAAGAAATTTGTATGAAAACTGCCACCCGTATAAATTTGAAAACTGCCACCGGTAGTGAAAACTGCCACCCGTGTAAATTTGACAACTGCCACCCACATGAATTTCGGCGCACAGAGGGTCGAAGCGGACATTTAGAGATTTTCGGAGATCCCAGGTAAAGAAAAAAAGTAAGTGGGTGGATGCTGTCATCAAGCGATTTGATGAAAAAATCCCCAACAAAGAAGGCGAAGTGATGTCCCTTTATGACTTCATGAAAAAAATTTCCACTAAATTCGCCAAAAATCCCACCAACCTCACCAAAAAGAAAGAAGGTAAAAGTCAGAAGAAAGTTCAAAAGGTAAAAAAGAAAAAAAAGAATAACAAAAGTAATGCCAAATGATGAAAAAAGCTCCTAGTAGTGATGTACTCTTTGACTGTAATTTTACTAAAATTTTACTACTTTTAACTATTTTTTACTATAACCATACTGTAAATTACTGTAAAAATACTTTTTACAATTTTTCACTACTTTCAACTAAGAGTAATGTCAAATGATGAAAAAAGCTCCTAGTAGTGATGTACTCTTTGACTGTAATTTTACTAAAATTTTACTACTTTTAACTATTTTTTACCATAAAAATACTGTAAATTACTGTAAAAATACTTTTTACAATTTTTCACTACTTTCAACTAAGAGCCCATTGACCTCTTTTCACCATATTAAAAAATTGTATTAAAAAATAACTTTTAAACACGCCTATTAAAAATCATCACAGACACTGCTCAATTTCTTATCATGTGTTGATTTTCAGTAGACAGTCCTCAGCCTTTCCAAGTGTGAAGGAAAGTTTGGTAAACTGTGTGACCCCGCTCAATCGCACTCCTTGGTTAAATTTCAACGGGTGGCAGTTGTCACTACCGGTGGCAGTTGTCAAATTTACACGGGGGGCAGTTGTCAAGTCGGGTGGCAGTTTTCAAATTTATACGGGGGGCAGTTGTCCATGTTTCCAGGAAATGGGTGGCAGTTTACAGCCTCCCGATTTATTTCCGGTTTATAGTTCCTGTACTTCCGCGTTCACCACTATCATGCGTGCGAGCCCCCTTCTATATTCCTTACTCTCTCTTCTCCCGTTTAAATTTTCCGCATATTTTCTCGGTCGTAATTTTTTTTCTCTTCTTATTCTGCCATCTGTTAGAGGGGCGCATTTTCGGCGCGCTGAGGGGGCGCAACTGCCGATGGAAGATTGGCCTCATGGCCAGCTCTAGCCTGTCAGTCCTACAAGATTGAGGAAGGAGACGCAATTTATGGAGATGGTAAAAATAGTTCCCTGGAAACCACCAATTCCATCAGTGACGTTCACCCGTGCTATGCCATGTGGAAAAACGCCTCACGAACACTTGGACGTTGTTAAATTGCCCTCGATGTAATTTTGGAAAGCTATAGTTAGGTATAATCCTTGAAAACATTTCAGATATATTCGATTAAATCACATCAAAGAATTCTGTGGAATATTAAAGGGAAAAGATTCACAAGAATTCCCGAAAATTCCCAATTTGTCGAGATTTTGCATCGTCTGAAATCACTTCGCAGCGTTCTTCTTCAGCATGGTAGTTTACACTGCCGTGCTAAGTGAAAACACCGCACGAGCATTCGAATGTTGCCAAATTTCCTCTCAAAGCATATTTATTTTTGAAAAAAAATATGAATTTTTTTTCTTCACGATCTTCAGACATTTTAGATCAAATTACAAATGAAATCCTTCTAAAAGTTGGAAGAGTAATATTTGCAAATTTTCTTGAAAACTTGTGATTCTTTAAGGAAATTTGGCAACGCCTAATGGTTCATACGGCGTTCTTCCTTAGCACGCAGTTCGCCGGCACGACGACGACAACGGCGACGCGACTCAGTAGGAGGTGAGAGGCCGAAATGCAGATGCACCGTGTGGGAGGCCGAAGTTCACTTCCCGTGCCTCCCACTCGCCGATTGCGATTGCGGGACACGAGCCGCAGATGGCGCCTCGGTCGCGGCGCGCGCCCCGCCGAGTGACTCAATATCCGCGCTCAGTTGTTTACGTTTGCGTTCGCGAATCGCGCGGCTCCAGTGCAGTGAGGCCGCGGCCTCCCTCATGGCCAAATTCCTCGTCCGCTGCAAGAAGCGCACCCCGGCGAGTCCCAGCGAGCCCTCCAAGCCTCTCGTCCCGGAGAGCGGCAAGGATGTGGACCTCACCGAGGAGACCCAGGAGAAGAGACCCCATTCGGGACCCCCGCCCGAGGTCTCCCGATTCTCCAGGATCCTCCACCTGGACCACCCCATCGCCGAGCTCTTCAGTCATTCGGGTAGTGCGCTGAATTTGTTGGACTTCAGGCCCGGGGCCTTCCTCTCCAAGCGCTTCGGCGGTCGCAAGAATCGTGGCAACGATCTGCGCCGCAGTAATAGTTTCAAGTTCGAAAGGTTCGAAAGGAAGGATAACGCCGACTCCCCCGGAGGATACGGATCTTGCACGCTGCAAAAGCAGGTAAAATTCACCCCCAGTTTCCTCCTTTCATCTGCATGGACCGCATGACAGCATGAGTGCGTAGCCGGAAAACTTTTGCGGGGAGGGCTAACGACCCGTTTTATCCGTCAGGGGGTACCGGCGATTATCGGCTACATACGATCATAACTCTTCAGGGGGAGGGGGGGAAGCAACAGCTTCCAGAGAATCCCAAGACTCCTTGCCAACACACGCAAAGATACCTATTTATGAGCTTCTCTGGAATAAGTACATGGTGACTATCATCCTTGAGAAGCTCAAAATTGTTCTCGATACATCTCAATTTTTTAAATTCTCTCCCAGGAGGTCCCCAAGATCCACCTTTAAAGCTGGGGGTGTCCCACCAACGATCCCTCTTGATGAGATGTCTTCGTATGTCCCCAGACTGCCTTCGACGAGTGGTCCTCTGTGCTTCTTCTTCAAGAATTCCTAGTTCTGCCCGCGTTTATACGCATCTTGATCAGTCATTCGGTGGCTTAGGGATCGTCCACGCATCACGCAAGGTATATATACCCGTAAGGCAACCCGAAACCCTTAATAAGGGAAGCTTTATATGGGAGACAATTCCGTCTTCCTGAAGCCCCTCTTTCCAACTTTTAAGGAAAACGTGAGAAACTTAAGGAACTGCGCTTTTTCATCTCTCTGAAATGAGGGGTAGTTAAAGACTCCCCCTCTTCCCTTGAAAGCGCTGTGCAATTCATAGCTAGCCGCTTGGCCCATCATTGCACCGCTGAGGGAAGTTTAAGTGACATCAACAAAAAGTGGTTCTGGATTTTATTTTATTTTATTTTTTTCTGCCCAAATGATTTTTTTGACTCTGGTGGAACGCAATTTGGAACTATAAATCGTCAAGTCCGCTTAAAATTGAACTGCTGCTTGATTTATTAATTACTTATCAGATTTTAACCGCAATAGTTTATCTATACCAAGAAATGATAGACTTGATGCAACAACGAACCGGATGCACATCAGCTCCAAAGTCATACGTCTCCATTATTAATTTTTATCTTCATAAAATGTGCAGGCAACATGGCCAGGAAGGTATCGCTTTAGACAGAGCCGAGTCGTAGCCAAAGTCAAGTTACGCGGCTGGCGATTCCACTTTCTTCCCCGTGCGTGGGAGGTTGGGCGTTCCCAATCGACAGAAAAGGAGGATGCGGGAACCACTTCAAAACTCTTGAGCAACTCACACTTCTAGAATCCAATTTGAAAAAGTTCACGGAGAGAATATGATCCCCACCAAAGTAAGCGAAAGAACGATAGAATTCCGAAAATCTGATTCAAAAGGTGATAGGTCAAGGAGAAGAAAGATATACGAGGTCTGTTAGATTAGAAACCGGATTTTGGTCATAACTAGCCTACTGTGCGTCCGAATTAGGTTTTCTTGATTTTTCCTGATAGCTGGAAATATACTTAAGAACGCTTCGTTCACAGATTTGAAAAATCTTAATTAGCTTCGTTGGTATGTGGCCTCAAGTACGGCAACCTCATGGGTGTTTTGCGATTTTTATGATTGACCGAACTTGTCTCTCTTTTTTCGGTCTTGCACTACATTTTTCAATCTATAAGGATGATTGGAGTTTCGTCTCCGCATCTTAACCGTACCTTCAAGTATTATCACCGAAAATTATCCTATCCAAAAATGTAGGATCATTGTTAGAACGTTCAAGCAGCTATAGGGAAATGAACATTTGGTTGGATTTTTGTTCAACGGACAACAATTGAGGGGCAAGTGTACCTGAAACTCGACGCATGTCTACATATTGTGTCAAATTTGTATGTACAGAGCCTTCAGAAATATTACACTGTTCAGCAAGCTCGAAACGACCATTTTCGAGACTTTATCCCGCACTTCTTCCACGTGACAAATGTTAGTTGCCGTTGATGGTCGATTCCCATGCTCCTCATCTTCAACGAACTCCTGACCAGTTTTGAATCGTTTAACCCACTCAAAATAGTGATAACAACTCATACTATGATCTTGGTAAACTTTACTTGGCATACCAAAAGTTTCGGTACAACGTATACCGAGCTTAAAACAAAATTTAATGTTAAATCTTTGCTCTATCCGTGATCGCATGATGAAAATCGCAAAACACCCATGAGGTTGCCGTACTTGAGGCCACGTACCAACGAAGCTAATTAAGATTTTTCAACTCTGTGAACGTAGCGTTCTTTAGTATGTTATCAGCTATCAGAAAAGTTCAAGAAAACCTAATTCGGACACACAATAAGCTAGTTATGACCAAAATCCGGTTTCTAATCTAACAGACCTCGTATGAAATGCCCTTTTGGGTAGAGAATCGTCATCCCAATCGCAAGACCGCGACCCTGTATAATTAATTTTCAAAATTCGTGCGGGAAAATGTAGAATACTTAAATGATATTATAGCTGGACTTCATCCAACAAAATCGTCCAGAAAAAAATCTTGAGTCCTTTAATATTGTGGACGAAATTGAAACGCTGGGTGCAGAAAGGGCATTTCTCAGTTGCGGTGTCTCAGGTCTCAGGATCTCCGTTAACGTTTCATCCACTGTTGTAATTATACAGCAAATGCATTGAATTCGTAATTTAAAACTTTAACCGAATTTTCGTAATGTTTTTACAATGCTAAAAGCTAAAAATTTCAGAGAATTCACCCAATAGTTTCTTCTTTAAAATATAAATTAGCAGTGACGATTTTGAGACACCGCAACCAAGAAATGCCCTTTCTGCACCAACCGCCTCCATCGTTGGCCGATCCGATCCCGTGTCGCGTCTCCATCTCTAGCTTTCCACAGGCTGAACGAAAAAAGGATCATAATCGTTTTTCTAGGATGGTGGAAACTTCACTCATATTTTGCACGGAGCCTATATTTGAAGAGCGGTTGTTTGAGTTTGATTGGTGGATCGCTCGATGAATTTTCTCGGCAGGAGCAGCTGACGGGTGCACGCTTTTATTTACAAAGATTGCACATGCGCCCGCGCATGCACTGGACGCCACTTTGTCTCCTATTGATAACATGTTGCGCCAACCCGACATACCAGCACTGCACCGCGAATCGTTTTCACCTCTGGATTCGCCACTTGGCCAGTTGCAGTGGTTTTATTTATTTACCGTCGTATTTCGAGCGGTTAGTGGGTGTCAGTTTATGAATCCTGCAGTGAGACTCAAGAATTTCAATCCTATAAGCACTATAGGATGGAACGAGCGGATGAGAATTAAAAAGAGGAAATAAGACAAGATGAGAGAGAAGTGAGGAACACCTAGATCGAGTACGGTAGAGTGGAACCAAGTTTTTTCGGAAACAGGGTATTTGCTTATAAGTTGCCTGGGAGAACTCCATACATGTGCTCCACTATATGCATCAATATGGCCCTTTTTCTGGATTGATTTGGCTATCTTTGATTTCAGGAGATAAGGATCAAGTCTCAATTAATTTTTTTTTTAATTACAAAGACTTTTTGGTCATGAATAAAATTAAACGTCATGACCTTTTTCGTCATGTGCGGCTCATTAAAATTGCAATTTTGAAATGCATACCTATCTCTATCAGAAACAAAAGGAGAATCCTACAATATGCAAACTCCTTTCTATTAATAAAAATAATAATAAAAAAAAACATGATTAAATTCCGATAGGCATGATCCAGCTGCACCCGACGAAGCTAAAGCTTTAAAGGTAGCATCCAGATGATATCAACCAAAATCAGCCTTACCAAGCGCCGGATTTAGGATGGTGAAAGCCCCGAGGCGAACTTTTGGTGCCCCCTCCCCCCCCCCCCCCCC